ACTCGGCATCCAAGCTGACAAACTACCAGTTTCATGACAGTTCCATAATAGTTCTACAGTAGCTACTAGGTCACTACTAGGTTACTACTATGGCGTCAGGCTGGATTTTCAAATTACATACCCAAAAGATCAGCCAGAAATTATTGTATAGTGCTGGTCAAAATCAGATTTGCAATTTATTGTGTCACCTGATATTATATTTTTTTTTACCGCATTTTGGTATTTTGAAAGGTAATCAAATAGGCGTAAAAATAAGCATCTTAATATAAAATCTAGCATCCAATCAGGCGCAGAAGGTCAACACCTCGACATAAAATTAGGTATCCAAACAGCTACAGAAGGCTGACAATATCAATATAAAATTTAGCATATAAATGATTCAGAAACAAGAAGAAAAGCGTAGTATTTAGATTATATGTGTGTGATAATTAGATTATATTGTAGTAATAAAAAGTATATTAGTATAAAAAATACAAATATTAAGAAAGACTTAAATATATGATTAGAACAAAAAAAGAGATATAAGAAATAATAAAAGTGTTAAATTATATGTGATATTTAGATCACAGAATTTAGATTATATGTAGTAATTAGAACACATCATTTAGATCATATGTGATATTCAGATTATATGTGATATTTAGATTTCATGTGGTATTTAGATCATATGTGGTATTCAGATTATATGTGATATTTAGATTCATGTGATATTTAGATCATATAATGTGGTATTTAGATCATATGTAATATTTAGATTATATGTAATACTATAATCTAAGGCAAGTGGAATACTACATATGATATAATTATATCATATATGGTATCCCACTGTATGAATTATCTAAAATTTAATACTATTCTGTTAATACTTTAAAAATTTGTCCTATCTATATTGAATTGGTAAAAGATCATTAGATAATTTCTAAATATCAATAATAATAAATTATTTTTAATTGCTTTATAAACTTTTTTTGTAAATAGTTTATAATTATGATATATATCTTTATAAATTCACTTTATACTATTTAAAGTTTTATACTTATAAAATAATAAAATATATTTTAAGATTTATATATATATTTAAATAGGTATTATAGAAATATTAGATAATATAAATTATATTAATTATTTTATATTTGCTTGATTTAAAAAAAAAAAATTTAATTAAATTACTAGAATTTTGATAAGATAATTAAAATTATAATAAATATTGTCTAATTCTTTTAAAAGATAAAATATTAGATAATTATTTAAATATAATTAGCTTAAATTTTATATTATTATATCATAAGTTTTGCTTATCTATAATTATAAATTCATAAAAGTATTGTATTATTTCTTATAATTTATTATCTTAATATTATATAACAATAATTAAATCATTACATGAGATGTATCTTTCATTAAAATTTTTACCTTTTGGTATTTTATGATTAAATTTTTTACCAAATATATACAAATATATTTTTGAAAATTTGCTAAAAGCAAATATATACTATATTTATCTTTTTAGATTTAGAGATATCTGAAACTAATAAATTAAATAGAGTTATAAGAGTATATAAATTTTATTTTTTTTAAAGATATAGCTTTAATAGTATAATAAAAAGTAGATTAATTATTCAAAAAATATATTCATTAATCACAATACAAAAATATTTATTATATTATAAAAAATTCAAATTTCTGATAGTTTTATAACATTTATATAATATTTTTATGATACTGCTGAGATATTATAAATTATGAAATGATTAGCTAACAAGATTTTATGTAATAATTAAATTACTATACATTTATTATTTTTATTATAATCTAATATATTATTTGATTTTTATTTATAAGACTGATCTTTTCACAGAAATCTTTCATAATATGAAATATATTATATATTGAGTAACTAACTTTTAGATTCACCTTCCTCATTGATGAATAAAATAAAGAAATGTTAGATATCATATTACTCTAAATATAAAGACTAACTTTTTTGAATAATATTGCTAAAAATAACTAAACAAGAAAATTTGGATCTTATCATAAAAATTTACAAATTTCATAAACATTTAAAGTAAATAATACTTGCTTAGATTTACAAAGAATCTGACTAATACTTAGGCTGAATTAATATACTTATTATTATTATTTTATTAGATTGTGATAAAATATAGAAAGGTAGTAGGAAAAAAAAGGAGCTTAATTGGAAAAGAGATTAGTAAAAAGTGTTCTACCAAATTTTGGTTAAAAACCAGATATGTTTTTGAAAAGAATTTTTTGAAGAATATCAAATCTATTCCATTTTCTAGAATTACTATTTAAACAAACATATAATAAAAATGTTATAAGATTAAGTGGAGCAAACAATAGGCTTTTATAGAATCTTTATCAATCTTAAGCTGTAAATAAACGAAAATGTCTACTAAGTTAAGAACAATAATACTATTTGTAATTTCTAGACTTGTGATACCTACTCTTTCCTCTTTTTCGTAAAATACAAATATTATTAATGTAACTATTAATAATTACGGTAACACTTAATAGATTAGTCTGTTTAAATTAATGTAAATAGTTTATCAAAATTTACAATTTATTATTTTTTTTTTTATAATTGAACATTTGTCTCCTAATACATTTTAAAAATTCTAGTTAGTTTATATTTCTTGATAATACCTTTAATATAAAAGTGTGTAGTAGATTACAAAAATAATATAAAATAAATATTCTTGCACTTTAAAATTTCAATTAATAAAAAGCATATGACTAAAATTTATATACAGATTTACTTTATTAATATAATAATTGGTTACATATTAGAGTTTATTTCTAAATCTAAGCAAAAGTTTATATATATATATACTGTAAATTTTTTTCCTATTCTTTCATAAGATCATGTAATTAAAGGGCTCTTTAGAATACCATGATGTGATAATACTTTCTATCATGATCTATTAGAAATTTATGATTTTTTTTTTTCTATATTGTATTATAATAAAATCTTATATCTCTTTTCAAGACATTTTTAAAGTATTCTGTAGCACATCCTATCTTTTTATTTCTGTCTCAGTAATAATCGAAAATTATTAGGATCGATATCATATTTAATGGTATATTAATAAAGACATTTCATTATATTTGTATTAGTTCTAAGAATTAGTAGATAAGATGATGCAGACAAATTGTCTGAATAGTTTATTATATAAATACCTGAAGAATTAGAGATATAGTTTAAAGGAATAGATGCAGTTGGATGCTTAAAATTTGATTAGATATACTGATGTAGTTCCAATTTGAAATGCAGATCACTGTCAAGAAAAAAAATTTTGATTTAGAGTTAACAATGCGATAAATTTTGCTGACTAAAATATATGAATGCTATTACTGTATATAATATGAAATCAATGTATAAATATTAATTTTTCTAATACAGATATTTGTATTCTGGTTAAAATCAGAAATTATTTTATTGAAAATTTATAATTTATTAAGTAATTGTGTGAATAATATAAACCTAGTTACATGAGAAAATGCTCTATAAATACATAGTATTAAACTGAAATTATTCAATCTATTTTGCTAATGTTATTTATAGATACAGATAGTATATCATATTAAAATAACTTTATCTATATTATTCAGTATTAGCAAATTTTAAGAACATTTTCCTTTTTTTGAAATAGCTTAGGTCACTTTGTATATAATTATGTGATAGATTTCATAGTAAAACCGTCATATGATTAAGTCATTTTAAAATCACTTCAAGATCATTTGCCAACACTGAATATCATCTGATACAAGTTTTAGGTTATAGAAAAAGTAATCATCAAGTAAAAGCAACTAATCTTGTACTTTTTTATGATTATCAACTAGAATAGAAGAATACATTTTTCTCCTGATTTACAAACTCAGTTTGAATTGTTATGAAGAAATTAAATATTTTTGTATAGTAATGAATTGTATCAAATGAAAATGAAATTAAGCAAGAAACTAATTCAATGATCAGAAACTTCTCTTTGCCTATGGGAAAGACTGAAAATAATGTAAAACAGTTACCAATGATTTAAATACTAAAGGTCTTAATGTCTTTAGTAATTTTGATACTATAATCTAGATTATTTTCAAATGTTCAGTAAAGGTTATATATAGCAATGTTGGATTTTAGACACATTTTTTGATTTTAAATATTTTAGACAAGATTTTAAATATGGAAAAACATGTTCATAACTTATCTAAAATTGTCTAATTTCTTAATACTGATATACAAATATCATTACCAACTTTTTATGTCTCTGAATGTATATTCTTATGTGACTTTAAAGGAGATCCTAAGATTTTAGTATTTAGAATTTTCAGACTGTCTGACAAATGTATGATAAGTAGATCTGTCTTTCTTGAATTGATATCTTCTGCAAACATATTGTTTGCCTTTTTTATTGAGGTAACATTTTTTTTAATCCAACTATATTTAATATCTAAGAATGTTGAAATGCATGGAAGATAAGTGAAAGAGATTTCATAATATAGGTTTTTTCAAATATTTTATAGTTTAAAACTCTCAGCATTTTAAAGCTAGCAATAAAATTTAGGAATGCGTCCCTTATGAAGAAATTGAGTCTTACTTTTTCTGTCTAATTATCACTGTTGATAATTATTTCTAAAATGATTTTTAATTTGATCTCTGTATAATTTACTTCAAATATTGCATCCAACTTCTTAACTAAGTTTCCTGTAAAATAAGTCAGTTTTTGCTTGTAATAGATTTTTTATTTCTATATAGACACTTTTTTAACAGTTTCTTTAATACAATTTATTGTTGTATTAAATGCGTAAATTAGATATAGCGAATATTTATCATACATAATTTTTGTTATGATAGGTTTTTTGGTATAAAAATTGAGTCTTGTTGAGTTGATTGGATAAATAAACATAGCATATTTTGTGAAGTAGATAATAATATTTATTAAGTTGATTAGATAATAGAGCATAGTGTACTTTCACACGAAGTATTAATATTTTCTGAAGTTTCTAATGATATCAATAATTGTTAGAGTAATTTTATATAAAGTAGTATCTTTTAGATTTGGTATCTCTGAAGTCTCTACTGATAGAATGATAAAACCCTTATCTATACCATCACAGTTTACTTTTTTATATGAACATTTTGTTCTTAGTTTTTGTTTCTTGATAAATTCTGAATCAGTCAAAAATATTTATAAGCATATGTGAAAAAAAAAGTAAAAAAAGAAATACCAAATTACTTACTTCCTTAGAGTTCTCTGCATATTCTGGATCTGATGAATGATCTTTCTCTAAACTTTCATTATAACATATTTCTTTTCTTTTTCTTGTTGTCTCTTTTATATAAGAAAATTATAAATCAGTTTAATGTAATTATTCTTTAAGTCTTAACTGGACTAACCTTTTTTGTTATTTCTAAATAAACTTCTACGGTCTTCTTAGCCATGTTCTTCATCATATCTTACATCTTACTACTTATATTTAAATAACATCGTTTCTGTACGAGAAAACTATTTAGTAAAACCTGAAAAGTTATATAGCAAAAAAAAATATACTTACTATATACAAAGTTCTTTTATGTTCTAGATACATAAGCTCAATCTTATTTCAGAACTTGTTGACTTCTTTATTATGCTATTAATGATTCTTATCAAAAGAAAATGAAAACATTAAGAAATTTAGATAATATTTGAAAAAATATTTAGTTTAGATTATAACATTCACATAGAACATTAGAGGAAATAGCGTGTAGAACGTCCTTATAGTTGTAGAGATCATAAGCAACTTGGCAAAAAACCTCATACTACTTTAAAAAAAGATAAATTTCAACCTTAAATATTTCTAACAATTGTTTGACCTTTATTATTTATTTGAGGGATTTAAGGTTTTTTTTGAATTAAAACAATTTCTTTCTGAAAAGCAAATGTATTAAACTTGACTTCCTTGTAGTCCTGTCTTGACCCACTTTCCGATCTTATTATAAAAATAATTATTATTTATATAGTTATTGGCAAGAGGTCAATTTAATATCACAAGAAGGATCAAATTTAATACTTTGCTTCTGAAAGAAAAGGTGAAGTTGCTTTTATTACAGCGGTGATTGTAGTAATTGAGAAAGCTCCCATTTATCAAAAGGTGTATCGAAATAAGTTATAACTTCTATCATTTTTTTTGGAAGGAAAAAAAAATTTTAGTTGTAGGATTTATGACATTTCATCACCTATTTTCCTATTTTGTATTATAATAGGGAGGTCAGCAGTATAAAAAATTAATATGCATGTATGCACATGACTTTTTAGTGTGCATAATTTTTTAAAAGTTAATTGCATAAATAATCATCCGCTTGTTAAAATTAAAGGTAGAATAGGAAAACAAGTTTGGATTCTAATAATTTGTATATAAATTCAATTTTTAATAAACAAATAATTACTGGTTTTATTAACATTAGTAGGTATATATATCTTTTTATTGATTTTCTTTGATAAAGTTGATTATATTATTTTTGTGAACATAATGAAGATTCTAAATCTGAAAAAGAGTGTTATTGAATTGGATGGTTCTGTAACTTGCATTGATTTATTTAAATTATTAGTTTTCAATTTATTAAATTCACTATAAAGCTTTGGATTATTTCGTTTTCTCATCATCTAGCTTTAAAAAATCTAATTTCTTATAACATGGATCTAATAATGCAGTCATTAGCCTTGTATTGCTAGAAGTATCCCAATAATGAACTAATGCATTATTTTTGGTATACTGGTCAAATAAAAGACTATCAGGTGAAATTCACTCCTTTTTTTATCATTGATTCCAGTCCGAATGAAATCTGCATGAATCCTAACCGGTTCTTGACGCTTGAGGTTGGAACCGGTTTTATTTCCAAAAACTGGTTTTAAATATGATCCAGTTTAAATTGGTTGCCCGAATCAAAACCGGTTTAAAGAACCGCTTAGCAGGTTTCTGATTACCTACGTCTGAGAATAGAATCTGATGTTGCAGGAATTGATACTTTCGTGAAATTTGTGCCAAAATCGGAAAATTATCCTTATTAACTGCCCACCATTTTAATGGTTCATCATTTAATCCAATTTTTCTTTGTTTCAAATACAAATTTATTGTCCTTGCAAAATTAGTTTCACAAATTTTGCCGAAAGAAAAATGCTTTATGACTGCGGCTAGTTTAATTAAGGATGAACTAATTCTATTCTTCGTTATTTTGTAAGACTTACTGTGGTATCAATAGTTGTAAGATCTGTAAGAGTTTCTGTATCTGAAGAAGTAGTTGGTTCGCCATAATGATAAATAAACATGCACAAAAAGAGTGCAAAAAGAAAGACTGAATATATGGGAAGTCTCGTTCGAGAAACTATTTTTAGTAAATCGAAAACCGGATCTTCCAAACCGGTTTTATATAGCAATCAGTTTTGCATTGCTCTAAAATTTGGAACCGGATTTATTCAAAACTGGTTAGACTCGAATTTAAAAACCGAATTGTTATAACCGGTTTTCAATCTCTTCTTTTGTGTCCTGAATATTTAGCATTTTTTTTTTTATGTTTAGAAGTTTTTTAAGGCGTTTCTTCTTGACATTAGAATTCATGTTTTACTAGAATATATTTGAAGATTACTTGATATTTATTAAAGAAAGGTGGAAAAAACAAAGAAAATCAATCAAGAAAATTTCAGCGTTATGAAATAAAATTATCAAATATTTACCTTCTTCAAATGCAGGTAAATGAGCAGTATTTTGTAACTGGTGAATATTTGGAAAAGCTTTTAAATCCAAAAGTATAATTGCCATAATTATTCCTTTAACAATTGTATGATCCATTTTTCCCTAATCATTATTATAACTCCGTTTTACATCAAAATCAGCATTTGAAAATTCACGCGATGTGATGTTTATTAGTAGGGACAGCAAGCTATCATAATCGAATTTTAAGCAACTTCCGCTAAATTTAAAGTTCCCCCAAATATAATCACCCCAATTATGTTATTAGTAAAAGAAGGAAAAAATCAAAAAATTCGATCAAACTTAAAATTAAGCATCCCTACCAATTTTGTCGTGTAATACATCAAATATGGTTGATCAAAGGAAAAGTGCATGAGAAAACAATATGAATTTTGTGGCAAAAATTGCGCGTGACCTCATGATCTAATCAATTAAATAAATCAATCTGCTTAAACAAAAGATTTTTCCGTTTTCAAAAGTAACTTACTTGTACTGTGACCTTGATCTTTTTGACAGTTTAAACATAAATCATGATCAATACAATCTTTTTACTCGCTTTCGTTTTTTTCTTTAATATAGGTTCCGTAATCCCAAACACACAAGTACACTTCAACATTGACAACGGCAACAAGTTACTACCCTCACAGCTAGTGACAAATATAACACAATGTCCCAAATTAACTCCCCGAAAAGTTCCACCAAAGAGTGTTCATGATTTACGCGTTGACGATATTGAAATCATAATGGCATTGGGTGATAGTATTACGGCAGCTCTCGGGGCAAAAGGACAAGATACTAATATACCAATTGATTTTCATAAACTTTATGAAAATCGTGGTGTAAGTTTCGTTATGGGAGGTGATCCTGGTGCTGTTACTATCGCCAATTTTATAAAACATTACTCCCCTTTGTTGAAAGGACCTTCCGTCGGAGATCATTTATTTGAACTTTGCTACGGTAATTATTGATTCAACGTTATATTCATTAAAAATTTTTTTTTTTTCAATTCAACGCGACTTTGACAAAAGGTTAAAACGTTCCTTTTATTATATAGGTGTGATTTGTCCACCTTACCAGTATAAACCTGATCAGGACAGACTGAATGCGGCGCAATCAGGGATGATGGTGTCAAATCTTACAATGGAACTAATTTATTTATTAGATCAACTTTATAAAGAACCGATAAAAGATATATTAAAATCATATAAATATCTCAATTTGTTTATTGGATCAAACGATATTTGTTTAAGATGTTCAAATAATTTGCCATGGTTATCAATAGAACAATTTGAATATTATCTTTTAACCACGTTGGAAACAATTCGAGAAAAGATACCGAATACAGTTGTAAATCTTTTGGGTGTATTTAATGTTTCTCAGGTTTATGAATTGACGCGTGGTGAAAAATATTGTAAATTGCGACGTGTTATCGGGGATTATGAATGCTCTTGCGCATATCTGCCAGGTAATTTTCTTTTTAAGAATGCGATCTTTATAAAGATTTTTTTTTTTTTTTCTAAAGAAGACTTTTCTCTGCAGGGGCTTTGGGGGATCTTAACAGAAAGAAAATGGATGAAACCGCAATGGAATATAATAAAGCGATTCAAAATGTTGTAAATTATTACGCTTCAAAACACAGTGATTCCTTTGCCGTAATGTATCAACCATTTGATTTAGATTTGTTAACTTTTCCTGTTGATGGTTTGAGTAGTCTAGATTGTTTTCATCCCAGGTATATTGATATCATTATGTTTCCTATTTTGTATTGTTGCTTATATCATAATAATTTGTTCCTTAAAAATATATATATATATATATATATAGTTTAAAATCGCACGAATTTATTGCCAAAATATTTTGGAATAATCTCGTACTTCCTTCAAGCAAACGTGGTGGATCTATCGTGTGGAATGAAAATGTTGGCATTAGATGTTTTGAAGATGATGATCGCATTAATACAAAATTGACTTGAAACTGTGATGAGAAATTTTTTAAGAACAATTCATTATAATTGTGTGTAGAACGAAAGATTGGTTTTATTTATTTAATTTTTTTTTTTTTTTAAGTGGGACCATGAATAAAAACATCTTTTTTCTTAAAAAAAAAAAAATTATCTTTTTTAAACATATCAATCAACATCAATCCTAACGATAAGAGAATCATTGAATTATAATTTATGATCCTAATCTCTGACCTCTACCCCAACTATGTCTTGTTCCGTCAGTTGAACTTTGTTGTTGAGCTCTCCCGCCGGGATTTAGGACAACACCAAATGAGGTTCGTAATCCAGCACGATTGACAGGAAACCAATTATATAACCATTGTGGGGTGTTTAGAAATCTTGTACCACCACTCGCAGGATATATTTCTTTTAGATAATAATATATATGACCTGTGATGATTCCTATTATTGATGCCCACGGCAAGCCCCCACCCATTTGTAATGCTTCAAATGCCAATAACACAAACGGTAAATATACTCCCTAGATATCAGGAAAATTGAAATCAAAAAAGATTACTGTTAAAAGCATAAAGTTACAAATTATAATTTTAATAATTAAAAAATTCCCGTTAGGTTTACCTTGAATCTTAGACCAAACATAAAAGTTACTATAGCGTCCTTGAATAATTGAGCCCATATATATATAATTGCCATTACCAAACTTTGATTGAATAATACCAATCCCTTAATCATTCCTCCTATTATCTACCAAATAATAATTAAGAGTTAAGAATAATGTTTGATATATTTCGAATCTTTTTTTTTCAATACAACGATTTTAACGAAAAAAAGATCACCGAATTATATCCTTTATTTCATTCTATCCCTAAAGTGTGAACCGAACAGTTTATTGAACAAAAAAAAAGGAGTTCGGGCAAGAGTAGGGACAAAGATACGCGACTTCAAGTTAAAAAAAAAAGGATACGAGTATTGTCAAAGCTTCAAATAAAAGGAAGAAAACATAATCCGCAGTGATCCCCAGAAACTTTTCGGTTTCTACCTCTTTAGAGTATCGATATAAAAAGTATAATTGAATTGCTCCATTGAAATTAAAAGAGTAAAAGAAAAATGACGTGAAAAGTCTCCATATCTATTTGAATTGGATCACAATCATTATCTAATAAACATGAAGAAGCTTTGATATTGAAGAGGAAAGATACATACCTGGAAATGACCAAAGGTGTATTCAGGAAGAAAAAAGAAATAATATGGGCTAATTGGACCTATATTACCCAATACTGTTATCACAAGATAACTTGTAAATAAAAATCTTGTACATATTGGTATTTCTTTATAAAAGGCTACCAATTCATTTTGTGGTTGACGTTGCTGTGGCGGCTGTCCATTCATTTTTTTTCTTTCGCTTTTGAACGTAAAAAGTGAATGAAAGGGAAACGGAAAAAATCTCGATTTGCCAAAAATCGCTAAACTAATACTTAACTTAATGCTTAATTTGGAATCAGATGACGTGTTAATAACTCGTTCGTTGATTATCTAATGGCCCGTATCACCGAATATATTTTTTTTTTTTCGATATAAATAATTAAATTATTGTTCTCACTTCAAAACGTTGTCACAATGAGAATGGTAATTATTTGATCCATATTTAATGAAAAACGAAAGTTCGTTAACGGTTACCTTTAATTAATTTTGAAGTTATTAAGAAAGACGCGTTGATATCTACAAGATTCTAATGAGATCTCTTTTTTTTTTTAAAAAAAAAAAATTAGCTTAATCAAGAGGAAGAAGTTGACGCAGAAGTAACATGGGAAGATCAACAAAAGATAAATTCTTTTAGTAAATTGAATGCGAAATATTCTGATCTTGAAGAAACTTATAATGCAAAAAAGGTTATTAGACTCGTTTGTTGACTCTTTATTATTAGGGCAACTATTAATCTTCTCTCTCTCTCTCTCTTGTTGAATTAAATCAATCAGCAAGAAAAAGAATTTCTTGATGATCTAGCTAGTGAACTTGAATTGGTGGAAGTAGGTGAACCTGTCAAGTTAGTATTTAAAATATCAAAATCACTTTTTTTTTCTAAAAAAAAAAAAAATTCACATAATGACGATATTGATTTATTGTAAAATAGATATAAAATAGGAGAATCATTTATTAACCTTCCGGTAGAACAAGCAATAGAACGTATAGAAAAGGATCAAGAAATCTTAACACAAGAATTAGAACAACTCCAGCATAATATGGATGATATGAATGGTCAAATGCGTCAATTAAAAGCTCATTTGTATGGTAAATTTGGTAAAGCGATTAATTTAGAAAAGGATTAATTAATCATTATAATCATTTAAATATATCAATAATTTCTTTCTAAATAAAATATATTACAAAAAAATCATGATACATATTATAAAATTTTGAATCAAGAATGATCGTATACTATGAATACTATGAATAGTATGAATTAGAATAGAATATATATAGTGTAGGGCAAAAGTAATGCAACCACTTGTTGAATTTTAAAGGCTGTTAATTATGAATGCAAGAATCGATCATATTTATTTTAAAAATTCCACAATAAATTTTGAGCATTGACTCTGAGATATATTAAAAATTATTCTAACCAATTTTATATAGTGCAGAGTCGATCTTTTGACTCTCTCTTAAAGAGAAGCTGAAAGTTTTGGTTTTTTGCAAACAGATTGTCAGGAAGGTTGGAAGTTTGAATAACAAGCGCTTTTGAAATATTTGTTATTGGTAGCATTATTATACGGTTCAGGATTTTTGAATAGTTATTTCTTCTCCAACCGATATGTCTTCTTCTTCTACCAACGTACACAACACTATCGAAAAACAAACTCTTAAACCCCTCAAACGTCAAAACTGTTTCTACTCTTGTTCCTGCAGAAAATGAACATTGACGATACCAAAACCTACCAATATTCTCACCAAAAAGATTCTATTCACACATCGATTTCTTCTTCTGCAAACCCCAATTATTCCCTACATCTATCTATATTGTCTAAAGGCAAAGCTAAACAAAAAAACCTGAGCCGAATAATTTGACGAAAAATGATAACCAGATTGTTAATTGAAAAGTTATTCGGATCAAATAAAAATATTTATCTTCACAAAAGATTTGAAGATGACCCAAAACGTAGGATGATTCACCGCAGTCATCTTCTGATCCGAGTCACATGAAATACATACTACGCGAAAACAAAAAAAAAAACAAACGATTAATCATGAATCCGAAACCTCTTTTTTTTTTTTCTTTTTCTTTTTTATTCAACTTTATCAACTTTTCCTTCGAAAATCCGGATCAAACGATACACCAAACCTTTCATAATCGAAATTTAGAGATAAAATTCCGAATTTGCGCAGACTTGATAATACAAGGAAGGCATTTCCTAAATATGGTAACATTTCATATCGTAATCATTTTTCCGATATATATTATATAAAAGGTTCAACATGGAACTTCTATGTAAATCCTCATATAGTAATTATTATGGGTGACTGAATGAGTAAATCAAATTTAGCTGGATTTCTTTATGACACCCTTTTGATTAACCACATGTAATCCTTTCTCCTTAATGGTATCACGAAATGCTTAAAATATCTCATAACAACACCACAAAATAAAAAAGAAAAAAAAAATTACTTTGAAACGATAATAATTTTCGAACTGCATTGCCTTAATTGCACCATCACCACTAACGTAACTTGCACTAATTTCGGAACACCTTTCACCAAAAAACATCATAATAATCCATTCTATTAATAAAACATTCATTCATTCATTCATTCAATAATAGATAAAAAGATAAAAAGATAACAACATTTAGAAACAAAAATTTTTTGTTGGCTAAAATCTATTTATTTTTCATAACATGTACATTCAACATGCTTTGTGATGTTGGGGTCATGAGTTCGATTTACGAAAAATAGATTTGCACATTTGTAAAGTTGTTATAATTATGCACATAAACGAGCAAAAAACCATGATAATTAATTTAAAATGATTTGATGTCGTACCAATCAATCTTCGTTTTTGGCGGTTTTGGCGGAAAATTTGGTACAACAAACATATCATTTTATGAGAGCTCGTAATAGGTGAAAAAGGTGACATGATTTATATATCTTTATGCTTCATTTCTGTAAAGAAATGGTCCATATAAGGAAATTTTTATCAAAGCCGTTTGGCGGAGAAGTTATTTATGCTTAATTTATGCTTAAATGCTCAAAATAGATTGATAATGAAATATGTAGGATCTAATTTTTTTTTTCTTTTTTTTTAAAAGTAAAAATAAAAAATAATAAAGAAAAAAAGAAATAATAATAATCATCATACGCGTTTTTGTTTATGACGCCAAATAAAAAAAGATTTGGATATTTTTGTTTTTGGATCGAAGTCTCTGAGTAAAAAAAAAAAGTTAGACAAGCTTGATAACGATTAAGTTTTGATTCAGGAAAAAAAAGCAAAAAATATTTTTAAATATATCTTGTAAGTATTAATTAAAATTACAAACAATACACACTTTTTACATTGCGGTTGTTTAATAAAATACGAATCGTATTATCGAAATTCGCGTATATACATACAGTAAGTGATACTTCACCATCATCTCTTTTTCGAATGTAGTGTACATATGTATATACACAACGTATTTGGTGTGATGATCAATGATGATTGATCATTCTCATTCTGAACATACAACTCCTATTAAAGATAATGCCCATCACGCGTGAATTAAAGTATGGTACAAAATTTTTTTTTTTTTTTATCGTTTTTATCTCTTTAAATTGGTATGAAACCTTCCGTTAGAATTTTTTCTTATCAAAAAAAAAAAAAATTTAAAATAAAATAAAAAAGGCCAGAACGCCATCTTTTCGATTTGTGAGCATAATCCAAATTAATCGGTCAAATCAAAGAATATCTAACGTCGGCATTAACGCAATACCTAGGCCAGCATTATAATGAATTTAAAAGGAAGACAAAATAAACCCCAATTTAAATAGATCAATTGGTTTGGGCGTCTCGGTTAAAAGCGGATGAGGGCGGGTAAGACATAACAATAAAAATTCGGTCAATAAAGAGCCCACCTTCTTTTACCAGAAAACCTTTTTAGAATGCATGTAAGAATATTTTACGATATCAAAAGAATTTAAATAAATCCTGCATTTGATGAGTCAATAAAATTTGATTCTGAGAAATTGATGTACCATTGTTGTACCACATGATAAGTTTTCATATATTTCTTTAAAAAAAAAAAAATTGCTTGTGAATTAATGCGAGTCAACATTTTTTTTTTTTTCACCTCAAAATTGCTTGTGAATTAATGCAATATTTAAGAGTCAACATTTTTTTTTCTTTGTTCAAGAGAAAATGAAGGAATAATCAACTCGTGTTACGTGATGCGAACTTAAACCGTAAACTTTCATTATAATGATAAGAAATCATACAATTCTTGTTAAGAAAATTTATATAGTTTTTCCAACAATTTATTGATACGAATTCCTTTTGGTATGTTTTATTCTTTGATTGAATGACAGAAAGAGTATGGATGATTTTTGCGAAATTTAATCTAGTATTTTAAGAGTAATTTGGCTTTTTTTTTTTTTCGTTATCAGTTGGATGATGATTTAATATAACGTTTCCTGTTTACAACCGATAAACTAATAAATTTTTCACACAATTCAACATTTGCTTGGGTCACATTTAAAATCGTCATTTATTATGTCATCGTGTTCAAGATAGATAGTGATAACAAAAACCCCTCATGTACCCGTTTTTATCCTCATATAACTTGTGATTTAAAGTTTCATTTTTTTGAATATTCACAACAATTATATAATGCATTATCTATAATCATTATCATTGATTCAATCTTAAATCTTTTGTCAGGAATATAAACACCCCCAAAAAAAAATTTTTTTTTTTTTATTTGAAAAAAAGAACTTTAAAATTTGAAAATACCGCAGTATTTATGAACGTGAGAATTCCCTCGGGTATTCGAAAATCTCAAAACGTTCCCCTTCATCATTTTATCCAATAAAAATGCAAGGAAGAGGAAGAAAGAATACTTTTTTAATCCATCATTATAAGTAAAGCACAATGAAAGATCTTCCACTACCTATAGAGTTTACATTCATAAGCTGAACATTGTTTAAAAAAAAAAAAATTTTTTTTTTTAAGTTTGTGTTTGAAAAATATAGATAATAGTAACACGATTATACCTGTCCAATGTGATCATTTGCATAAGTGCATTTTCATGTAACCGATAAAAAAAAAAGCTAAATTAAAAAAGGGTACTGAATGGATTCAAGAAAAGAATAAATCTGTAAGAGAACATTTTATCGAACTGCCTCACTTGTGACGCACATACATACAAGTAGAAGCGCTGCCTTTGTGGGAAAATTGGCATTTCAGACACATGCTTGTTGTTTTCTTATCATGAGAAATTAGAAAATCTTTCGTCATCATGAGAATGCTAACAAATTAAATGATTTTCTGGATTACTTAAGCGCCATTATCCCCGAATAAATTAACATAAACGGGCATTATCTTTCTAGTAAATAAAACGGACCCTTACATTAGTTCATTCTTTTAAAAAAAAAAAAAAAGGATTTCAGTAAAAATACGAGTTAAAGTCCTGTGATTTTTTTTTTTTCAAAAAAAATAAAAAAAAATAAAAAATCAAAAGGATGTGTAATATTTGCTTCTGTCATTTTTATTTTTGAGAGATCTACATTGCATTCATTCATACATACAGTACATTCAACTATTCAAACTTTTGCAATATCCTATTTTTGGAAATCAAATTATTTAGGCTAGTTAAATTACATCCGTTTTTTTTTAGACGGTAAATCTAAATAAAGTATAAATCAAAACGCTCATTATTATTCCCTTTTTGAATGGATTTATTTTGCGATGACAACATTTTAGTTCAAATTATTTTTCAAAGAACGAAATTGCTCCTTGGACTTTTTTTTTTTTTTTTACTAAAAAATTTAAGAGAACCCGAATCGCAAACATCGCTTAAAAAAGGAAAGATAAAACTCATTTATTAATATTTATGTGGGTCCTAAAAATTGGGCTGGGATTCATTTAGCCAATGACCGAATGATTGCTGTTAAGTGTTAGATTGGTTTCTTTATGGTCGAGGGATTTCGTTGAATAAATATAAATTTTTGTGTTAGCTTTGGTCCTGGAATCTCCCATGTTTTCAGGCTTTTTTTTGTTGTAAACATAACCACTAGTTTTCTTTCAGAGTTACTTTGATGCTATTTTTGGTAGGAGCAAGGATTTCCACGCACTATCCTTATT